GAAAGTTTTTTTTTGCAGTGTTAACAGATAATATGCATATACAGTTTTTACTATACATATGATCAACGATATAGGAGAAATGTATTTAATGACATGATTAAAGAAAAGGAAGGATAATACAGTATAGCTCATATATAAGCCGTACTTGCCTGTAAGGCGAGTCCTAAAAATGGAGTTGCTTTGTTGAACCTTTTATAAGACGCAGTCTATGAGAAATACTTTAATATAACTGCTTGTTGAGATTTTATCATTGTGCCATTCATGAACAATATTTCACCGGTCAAAATAGTTTCTTTGTTTCAAAGTTTATCTATGATTACTTTTACCCTATTTGTCTCATGTTTTTAACTCAAATTCACCGTGTTTTAAGTATAGTGTCATATGCTACAAAGTTGACAAAAACAGTTAATGTTTTTTTTGTTATTTTATATTTTTTGTTGTTTTTGTTGACGATCTTCTGACATGTTTTAGTGTTAATGATTATTTCTCTTATCAATGTACTTTTATATTCTTTTGTATTTTGTCTACATTTCTTTTGTAGACATCTATTTATGAAAAAAATAAAGCTATTTTGATAACACTTCTATTTTCTTCAATTTCTGCTGGAATTTGAACTAAAATGAGTCACAGTGGTTAAAGTGTTTCAATGTTACAATAATACTTACAGAAGATGCCAAAGATGATTTAAATAATAATTTGGGATAATGATCTATAAGTTTTTTACATGATTAAAACAGTATTGACAGAAGAGTGAAAGTATAAAGTTAACCATTGATGTATCATATTTGTTGAAATCCACGCTAAACGCTGGTCTGAAAACAGTAAACAGAATCTCCTCTCTTTAAAATCAACATCTGTGTGACTTTTACCCGAGAAAGCAAACTTTGTGAAGCATAGGAATGGAAATTAATAGGTTTTGTGAAAGTGAAATAAACAAGTTAGAGTTAAAGGATGATGACAACAACTTGCGGAATAAAGTTTTATTATTTTTGTAGAAATACTTACATGAGTTTCATAGTGGTAGTGCTAATGGATTTTTTGCATTTTGAAGAAACTTTTGACACACTAAAGAAAAGCGGCTGAACGTACAAGTGTCAGGCGCAAAGAGCAGAATATGCCAAATGTTATCACACCTATCAAATGTTAATAATTTTGTTACCGGAATTCACTTGAAAATAAATCATGTGAGATATGTTTGATGTCACTGATACATCACGTGTAACTAGGGTATGTCACTGATACATCACGTGTAACTAGGGTATGTCACTGATACATCACGTGTAACTAGGGTATGTCACTGATACATGATGTGTAACTAGGGTATGTCACTGATACATCACGTGTAACTAGGGTATGTCACTGATACATCACGTGTAACTAGGGTATGTCACTGATACATCACGTGTAACTAGGGTATGTCACTGATACATCACGTGTAACTAGGGTATGTCACTGATACATCACGTGTAACTAGGGTATGTCACTGATACATCACGTGTAACTAGGGTATGTCACTGATACATCATGTGTAACTAGGGTATGTCACTGATACATCATGTGTAACTAGGATATGTCAGTTATACCAATTGGTCCAATATTGTTTGTGCAATACACAAATGTTAACATGCATGCATGTACGTGTTATACAGTGTATTAAAGCTTTAATTCACCATCAACAAACGCTAAGACATCATGCATAACTTCTACGTTGTACTGTTAGCTTAAACAACATGTTCTATATCAATTTGTACTCTAATCCTGAGTGACAAAATCTATATATATGGTAATAAATTATCTAATATCTAATTATAGGTAAGTATTTTATTTATTTTTCATGAATCGCTTTAAATGCAATTTCTTGCCCCGTTAAATATTAGAAACAGTTCTCCTTAACCCATATATATCGACCTATTAATACATGTGTATTTGTTGTCAACAGTAAATGAAATTGTAAATGTTCCTTTATAACTACAACTAGATATTCTGAATTCATTTGAATAATAAAAACCGACAGTTTGTTTCAAGGTTCATACCATTACTGATTGACACAAATGTAAGAACACTGCAAATTTACACTCTGACTGTAGTGAACAGCTGAATATGTTTGATGAAAAAAGTTGTTACAAAATTCTGCCGTTTATAATGACTAATTCAGCATATCTTTTATCTTCCCTTAAAATATATGAAAACTTTCTTCATAATACAAGTATGTACATGTATTACTATTAGAGTTAACTGCAAATAAGTCCTAGTATTTTGTTTTACATGTTGAAATAAGAAATTTATATATCAGATATTATTTTAACGTAATATAAACATGGTTTTATATACACATATCAGATTAGTAGGTATATTAGTTGATACTTTTTCTGTAGATATTGGTTCCTTATATATTTATATGTTGCTAGGATACAGGCCCAACTTACCATGTCCTCGAGGAACATGACATTGAAGAACATTCGGATGACATTTTCAGGAAGGTAATATAATATTATTACTGTAGTTCTATGGTAGATCTACCCTTTGATTTATCTATCCTATTAACGATAAAAATGGTGTTCACCTTGATTTCTTAGTGAAACATGACTTTATTTAAACTTTAGCGCCTTAGCGTTGTAACAAAACATGACGTCATTTCGCATATACGTACTCGCGTTGTCAGTATGAGAAAGTTTTATAATGTTCATTGCTGTCGAGGGACTTATGTTCCCTAATTCATTTTCATGGTGTAATACTTCTAACTTTCCTATGTTGATGCTTTAATCATGTATATCATGTAGCTCTAAGGTAACATTTCTGCCGAATGTAATAAAATGCTTACAGCTACGGAATTTTTAGTAAGCAAAAATGTTATATACATTTGCGATATAGTCTTTGCACCCTTTAAAGTTGCGTTTATTAAATTTAATTCATTTTTTTACATCCATACACATCCATATTGAATTTCATATATGTAGGGACTCGTATGTATATATGAAATGAAATTTAGTAATGCTTATTGTTATAAGTGGTGTATTTGGTTGTTCTGTACATGTTTTAAAATAAAAAACAACAACAAAAATCAACTCCTTATATAAACTGACCTTGTTCTATCTTCCAGCTTTTGAATTTTATTTGGCATGAAGTTAAAGATATGATAAATTGAAACGTTGCCCCTATGATTGCCTCTAGTTATTTAATAACGCCAAATGCGAAAACGTGAAACACACATCAACACACTCTCTAACGTTATTGAAAGCATTTGAAATTGTGAAAAGTATTTTTAGAACCTGCGAATAATTTTAAACATACGGGAATCAGTTAAACGAAATGCATTTTACGGAAGGTAAAAGTAAAAGATAAATCTCTTATTATTCACAATAGCGTTGAATCTTATTATATTATATCTTGTTTTTTATAGGAACCTGGCGTGTATGATGACGACCTTGCTGAACCAGTCTATCATGAAATTGTTGTTTCCACACTTGAGGAGTGGCTAACAACACTCGGTCTGTCGTGCTATATTAATGTGTTTCATGATAATGGTTGGGAAAATTTAATGGTGCTTGGGGAAATGACGGAAGCAGACCTGGACAGAATGGAAATCAACAATCGTTCCCATAGATCGTTAATTTTGTCTTGTATCGAAGATTTCAAATCCTGTTAAGTTATTTGTTTAGCTTATTTTGAGATGCACTTTAAAAAAGTGTCTGGAACTTTTTTTTATATGTTTATACATTTCTAAAGTTTACTGACATGTATGTTGTTATTGTAGCTATTATGTTACTAAAGAGGTATTATGAAAATCTTTAGTAGGTCTTTATTGAGGATATTATATTTAGACGATTATAATTGTATATGCAGGTTGACTAACAAAGTATTTTGATTGTAAATGATGACTTATGAAAGTCACACACTGATAATTTGTGAATTTGATATGTGATTCAAGTGATCCATGGTACACGTATATATATAAACCTAAATACATTCTTTAAGACTTGAACTTTGCCTTTGTCTTTTATGAATGAAAACTTATAATTTGTTAGATACGTTTTCTTTTTTTAGGAAATAAGTAAATATCGCTAAATTTGTATACACATTGGAGTAACAAGGCTATTTCCATATATAACAAATAAATGAAACGGTAACACATTGTATTGTGTATGGTGGTAAGAAGTGAATTTCTAATGGTTATCTCCTGTATCTATGGCTATTCAAATTGGCTGGTATGATGATAAATATGAAGTACCTTAGTAAAAGGGACCCCCCAATAGAATTATGACTCCAGATCTATATCTTTTAAAGAAAATTGACTTTCCGGTTATAATATTATGACCCCCATCCCTATTCAAAGTATTATGTGAAGAAAAATTACCCTCGAGAAGTATGTTGATCCCCCTGGTCATTTGCTGTAATTATTTTTAAAGAAAGGTTACCTCTTTCAAAATATAAGAAAAGTTAATGAAGAGTTGCTAAAAAGAAATGAAGGCAAGAGAAACATAAAAAAAAATGTTTTAAAGTTTTCAATGACTTTCAAATCTGATTTTTTTTAGCTCACCTGACCACAAAGTGGTCAAATTTAAAGTGAGGTATAGTGATGTCCCCATAGTGATGGGGCGTCCGTCGTCGTGCGTCATCATTAATTGGGTTGTTAACACTCTAGCAGTCACAATTTTGATTGGATCATAATCAACTTTGTCAGAATGTTTGTCTCAATGAAATACACGGGTCAAGTTCGAATATGGGTAATCGTGGATCAAAAACTAGGTCACAGGTTCTAAAAATAGAAGAAGTTAGTTAACACTCTAGTGGGTGCAGTTTTGATCCAAATATCCTAAATTGTCAGGAAGATTGTGTTGGTGATTTCTAGATCAAGTTCGAATATGGGTCATTTCGGGTCAAAAACAAGGTCACAGGAGCTAAAAATAGGAAAATCTTGTTAACACTCTAGTGGCTGCAGCTTTGATCCAAATATCCTTGAAATTGGTCAGGAAAGTTGTTTTGATGATTTCTAGGTCTAGTTCGAATAGGGTCATCTTTGGTCAAAATCTTGGTCACAGGAGCTAAAAATAGAAAATCTTGTTAACACTCTATTTGCTGCAGTTTAGATCCAAATATTCTGTAAATTTGTCCGGAAAATTGTTTTGATGATTTCTAGTTCAACTTCAAATATGCGTCGTCTACAGTAAAAAACTAGGGGTCGGTCTAAAACGCAGACGCTTATGCAGACAATATAGGATATATAGTAAAACGCAGACAATATAGATATAGAGTGTTTTTACAAAACGCAGACAATATAGAATAAGAAGGGGTAAATTAGACACTAAAAAGATGTTTAGATTTGTATGTTTAAGATTAAAATTTTAAGATATTAGAGATTTGTAGGTATGAATATTTGATAACAAATTAGAATTTTCAAAAAAAAAATATTTCTTTTATGATTTGTTATTAAGATGATAGATCTATCAATTAAGAAAAAAAAATAGTGATATAAAAAAAGGTTTTTTTGACATACTATGCTTGATTTGAATTAACTTTTTTGAATTTAAGATAAAATGTCTAATATAAGTTTTGTTAACTTTAATAAGCAAAATTTTAATGGGGACAATAAAGTAAATTTCAAAACAAATTTAAAGAACAGAACATATTTTTTATTTGATTTGTATACTTAGTCCATCTACAAAGTAATCATTAAATAGTTAATAAAACAATGTTATAAAGCATTTATAAATATTTAAAAAAACATTGTCATGTAAAAATATAAATATAATTTTTATTAAAAACGTGTTTATCATAGCAAATAAATACATATCTATATTGTCTGCATTTCTTTAAAAGTACTATATACTCTATATTGTCTGCGTTTTACTATATATTCTATATTGTCTGCATAAGCGTCTGCGTTTTAGCCTGTGCCAAAAACTAGGTCACAGGAGCTAAAAAAAGAAGTAAATTCTTGTTAACACTCTAGTGGTTGTGTTTTTGATCCATTGATCAGGAAGGTTGTTTTGATGATTTCTAGGTCAAGTCTAAATATGGGTTGTATCTAGTCAAAAACTAGGTCACAGGGGCTAATAATAGAAACATCTTGTTAATACTCTAGTTGATCCAAATATTTTGGAAATTGGTTAGGAAGGTTGTTGTGATGATTTCTAGGTCAATTTCAAATACGAGTTGTCTCTGGTAAAACACTAGGTCACAGGGGCTAAAATAGTCACCTGGGGTCAAAAACTAGGTAACACTGCCCAAGATATGGAAAAACCTTGTTAATACGCTAATGGTAACATTTCTTACTCAATTGTCATCAAACTTGGTCAGGATGCTTACCTAGTTAATTGCTTGGAGGAGTTCGAACATGGGTCATCTCTGATATAAAACTACGTCACAGGAGCTAGCTAGAAATAGAACAATCTTGTGAACTCTCTAGTGGCTACTGTTGTTATCCAAATATCCTGGAAATTGGTCTACAAGTTTGTTTTGATGATTTCTAGGTCAAGTTTAAATATGGGTCACCTGGGGTCAAAAACTAGGTCACACTGCCCAAATAAACCTTTTTAACACTGTACGTAGAGGTCACATTTTTGACTGAATTGAGCAATGCGGACTGGCGTTTCGATTACATAGACAGAGACATGCTTTTATAAAAGCTTCTTCTGTGTGAGAATAAATCAGAAAATGACTAACTTGTTCGATTGTTCACAGGAGTCAAGCAGGGCTGTACATTATCACCGACAATATTTTCCATCTTCAGAAGGAATTAATGACCTTGACCTTGGCGTGCCTATGGATGATATTAAAGTATCGCTACTTATCACGCCCGTTTAACTCACAACGAGTGAAAAATGTCCATCGGTTAAAATGTTGTGAGAAACTTCCGTTCCTCGTTGTGAGCACCCATCTTTGACGTGTGACACGATAAACAAGGTGAGTTTTTCATAATTTTTAAAGATTACAGACATTTATGTAAAAATATCGAAATGCAGTTAGCTAGCGATGTGTTTTCCGAGTATGCACATGTAAAGATATTGCCTGTTGGTGGACAATTTGATGGAAATACCGTGCGACGCAGTCACTCGGGGTAGCAGGAAAACTGGAGGCAACTTCTCTTTGGACCTAATTTAACATTGAAAACGTCGATTCTGGTGACGTTTTGTGCATTCTAACCTAAAACAGATGCCCACAAGTCTTCAGCGTAAATTATAATCTGAAAGTCTTCATAGAAACGAGGATATACCCTGTTTTGCTTCAATCCTCGTTGTGAGCACCATAACCTCGTTGTGAGCAAGACAAGCGCAGTCCTTGTCTGGTTTTAATATGAAATTCAAATGGCAAGAATACAATTTTCAATCTACCAAAAGCAATCAAAACGTTTTTGTACAATAGTTTTTTCTTTGCAATAGTTCTTCTTTTTCTTTTTTGAAAATAATATTTTTCATATTCACAAGTCATCAGATTAACAGAAGAACTAATCAGTGGAGGTAAATTAGCTATTTTATTTCGTATACTCTAGTGTGGCACGAGTGAACATCACGGGGAGTTTATGAATATTTCAACAATTTCACAATCTGTGGGATACACACATACATATGGTTATCCTGAGCTGAAGACTGACCAAGTTATGAAAAACAAGAACTATCACGGTAAGTTGACAATGCGCCCGAAGTGGCGTTTTGTCCTTTGATTTATGGACCAGATAGATTATTTGATTTTGGACAATAAGATCTTCAATGTGAAGGTCATTCAAGGTCAAGGTGAAATAAATATAGGTCAGTTGGAAGGTCTTGTCCAAAGGGGCATTGTGTCCAAATATGAATTAATTCCACTTACTTATAAAGAAGTTATGACCAATGTTAAAGTTTTTGGATGTTCTAGGTCATTCAGGGTACAAAGTAAAAAAATACAGATCAGTTTGAAGGTCTTGTCTGTTTGTTGTTTCAAAATATGAGTAGAATCCGTATGCTAATAAGGAAGTTTTGACCAATTTTTTAGTTTTGGACAATTTGACCTTCAAGGTGAAGGTCATTCAGGGGTCAAGGCCAAAAGAATATAGGATAGCTGAAAGGCCTTGTCCAAAGATGTGTTGTGCCTAAACAATATGCCAAATCTTAATTGTTTTTGGACAATTTGACCTTCAAGGTAAAGGCCATTCAGGGGCCAAGGTGAAAAAATACAGGTCCGTAGGAAGGTCCTGTTCTTCGGGATGTTGTGTTCAAATATGAATCAAATTCGTTTACTAATACGGAAGTTATGGCCAATGTTTAGTTTTCGGACAAATTGACGGACTGACAGACGGACAGTTCAAAACTAATATGCCTTCCTTTGGTGTATGCACAACGTCTTGCAAAGAAATGCTGCTGTACAATAACGTTTTAATTGCTGTGGTAGATTGAAAATTATATTTTCACCATCTGAATAAAATATTAAAACCATACACGCACTGCGCTTGTCTCGCTCACAACGAGGTTATGGTGCTCACAACGAGGATTAAAGCAAAAAAGGGTATATCCTCGTTTCTATGAAGACTTTCAGATAATAATTTACGCTGAAGACTTGTGGGCATCTGTTTAAGGTTAGAATGCACAAAACGTCATCACCAGAATCGACGTTTTCAATGTTAAATTAGGTCCAAAGAGAAGTTGTCTCCAGTTTTCCTGCTACCCCGAGTGACTGCGTCGTACGGTATTTCCATCAAATTGTCCACCAACAGGCAATATCTTTACATGTGCATACTCGGAAAACACATCGCTAGCTAACTGCATTTCGATACTTTTACATGAATGTCTGTAATCTTTAAAAATTATGAAAAACTCACCTTGTTTATCGTGTCATACGTCAAAGATGGGTGCTCACAACGAGGAACGGAAGTTGCTCACAACATTTTTACCGATGGACATTTTTCACTCGTTGTGAGTTAAACGGGCGTGCTTATATAGGCGGACGACATAGTTTTGATCTCAGATTCTGAGGAAAAAATACAGACAATGCTAAACACTTTTCAAGACT